TAATGCAATCCTTAAAGAGCCTAACTGAACCAAATATAATTAAAATATAAAAAAAACAAACATAGTTTGCTCTCCAAACAAAGCCCAAGGCAAGCAAATTGAACTTCCAACCTAACCGAGGGTAGAGTTGGTTGTCCTAGCAAAACATCTAAGTGTGTGAAGGAGGCCGTGTTGTTTTGGTATATCCTATAGGAGTTTTATGTTTAAGTTTCCTACATTTAAAGTGTTTGTTTATTAAGGTTAAAAGGGGTTATTTAGTTAATGTTTACCTTGTACGAATTTGGATATTAATATTTATATTTGGAAGGTTGGAATTTGATTCTTTAATTTTATATAATTTGTAAGTTAATAACTCTAAGTGTAGGAACTACTAACCTACAAATCCTGAGGACATAATTAAAATGTAATCATCCCCCATATTGGATAGGTGATCATATAAAGCCTTTAAAGATTGATTAGTGATTTATTAGGGATAGAAAGAGGGAATACCTCATTATAATACACATGCTCTCAAAATGGAGTCAAACATGTTGTATAGGGTCAATGATATGTTAATGGTTTGAAGATCCCCCAATGCAATCTTTTAGTTATTTAAAATAGATTTGATGCCTTGAAATAAAATGATAAAATGCCATCTGAGTAGAGTCAAGCAAGAAGCATAAAGGTCTTTATTATTTAATCATAACTAATTATCAAATTTACTTGATTAAAATAAATTTAATTAAATAATTATCATATCAATCTTGTTTAATTGAATTAAAAATTACTTAAAATTTTTTATTTGAATTATTTAGAATTTTTAATTATTTATTAAATTTTAATTAATTTTATTGAATTGTTATATAAAGAAATCAAAATTTGGTTCTGAATTTTATTTTTCTTTAATTGTACGTTTGATTTAGAGTTGAATAAAATTATTTTTAGATTTTTTAATTTTTATTTGATTTATTAGGAATTATTGAAGTTTTATCCCTTAATTAAGGGATAATTTTTTATGAATTTTATTTTATGGTCAATTAATGTCAAATCAAGATAAATTTAACTCATAGGGTGTATAATTTATCTAAGTTCACTACTTTAAAGTTCCTTCTCTGTTGGATGTGTATGCGAATTTGTAATATTTTTATAAGTTCACTATACTTTATCTTTAATTATTTTCCTTAAGTGCCATTAAGATTCAAATGGGTTTATAAATTTGTGTATTTAACCCTCACATATAGACAAGCAAACCACAAAATTTTGGAATCATGGATTTGATGAAAATGAAATTTTAGAGTTATAAGTCACATAATGACCTATACAATAATAACAATAACATCAAGCCTTTATCCCACTACTTGGGGTCGGCTACATGAATCCTTTGTCTCTATTATGTCATATTAAAAGCCAAATTCTTGTTGTAATCTAATAAAGAAAGATCATTTCTAAACTTTTTTAACCAAAACTTTTTAGGTCTGCCTCTACCTTTCTTAACATAAGTCAAATCTAATACCTCTACTTTCCTAACCGGGTCATCGGAAGGCTTACATTTAATGTGACCAAACCATCTAAGGAGACTCTATCGAATCTTATCTTCTACTGGAGCTACACAAACCTTTTAATGTATATTCTCATTTTGTATCCTATCTCTAAGGGTAAAGCCACTCATCCACTTGAGCTTCCTCATCTCTGCCAGACTTAACTTAGTATTATGCTTATCTTTTAATGGCCAACATTCGACACCATAAAGCGTTGCAGGCCTCATCACCATCTTATAAATTTTTTTCTTAAGTTTGACGGGTACTTTTTTATCACAGAACAAGCCCGATGCATTCCTTTACTTTATCCATCTAACTTAAAGACTGCTGATAATATCGCCATCTATTTTGCCATCACTCTGTAAAATAAATCAAAAATATCTAAAATGTGTACTCTTATTAATGACTTGATCTTCCAAAGTCACAATCCCCTCACCAGGTCTTTTACTACTAAAAGTACACTATATATTTCATTTTAGATCTACTTAAGCGAAAACCTTTAGACTCTACGGTTGACCTTCATAATTCAAGTTTACCTTTAACTCGCTCTCTAGTCTTATCAATAAGAAGAATATCATGAGCTAAAAGCAAACACCAAGGTACATCCTCTTATAAATATCTAGTGAGAACATCTATAACTAAAGCAAAAAGATATGGGCTTAAGGCTGATCCTTGATTTAACCTACCCGAAATAAGGAAATACTCGGTCAAACCACCTTGTGCTTGAATACAAGGAATAGCTCTTGCATACTTATCTTTAATGATTTGAATATAAGCATTATTAACTCCATTCTTTTCAAGAACTACATAGCACTTCTCTTGGAAATAATCAAATGCTTTTTCTAAATCAATAAATATCATATGTAGATCCTCCTTATTTTCTCTATATTTCTCCATCAAACCTCTTAATAAATTTATGGCTTCAATAGTCGACCTACCCAGCATAAATCTAAATTTATTTTGAGAAACATTAGTATCACACTGCAATCTATGCTCCATAACTCGCTCCCATAATTTTAAAGTATGACACATAAACTTAATCCTCTATAATTCACACGATCTTGTCTATCACCTTTATTCTTAAAATAAGAATTAATGTACTCATTCTCCACTCATATGGCATCTTTTTAGTCTTCAAAATAGAATTAAAAATTTTAGCAAGCCAAGATATTCCTTCATCACCTAAGCATTTTCACACCTCTATTGGAATATCATGAGGTCCAACAGCTTTTCCACCCTTCATTTTCTTTAAAGTCTCTCTAACTTAAGTTTTACTAATATGCCAATAAAAATAGAAATCTTTGTTTTCATTTAGGGTACTAAGGTCATTGTAGGCAATCTTAATTAACCAATCTTCATTAAAAAGTTTAGCAAAATATCTCATCCACCTTTATTGAATATCATCTTCTAAAAAAAGTATTTTTTGATCTTCATCCTTAATACACTTCACTTGAACTAAATCACTACTACTCCTATCTCTTTGTTTGGCTAACTTATACATATATCTTTCTCCCTCCTAAGTATCAAATCTATTATATAAATCACTAAAGCTAAGGTCTTTGCATCACATCTTGCTTTCTTGGATTCCTTACGAGCCTCTTTATATCTTTCCCAATTATTAGAGTTTTTACAATAAAATATTTTTTTATAAAAATCTTCTTATTTTTAATCTTTTCTTGCACAATTGTATTTCACCACCGACTATTTTTATTATTATGAGCTTTTCCCTTTAATACTCTAAGTACATCTTTTGCAATATTCTTAATATCACTAGCCACTTTTTGCCACATAACATTAGCATCCTCATGCACAAACAAAATCTTAAGATCTAAAATCTTACTCTAAAAAATATATTTTTTAATAATATTTAAATGATCCCATCTAATCCTAGAATATTATTTTACTATTTTTTTATTTTCTACCTCTTGATCTTAAAATCCAAAACTAATAATTAATGTTTTTTTTTTTGAAGAAGCATAAAGCAAATACTATAGAAAAGAAAAGTAGGGACGATAAAAAGCCCCCACCGAGTACAAGCAATAGATTCCTTCTTCAAAATATTAACAAACGAATGAGGAACCTTGTCAAGGATTAAGTCATCCCAAAAGAAAGAAGAAAAAAATACCAAAGTTAACACATAAGTCCGCTAACTTATTACAATCTCTTTCGACATAATTGAAAATAACATAATTAAAAGAATCCACAAAAGAAAATTTATCCATACCTTTACCTCCCTTTTTGAAAGCTTTGTGGATAAACTTGATAACATTCATATTGTCACTCTCATTAATAATGCTTTGAAATCCTTGTGCCCGATCCTTGATCATATCTTTGACTGAAGCTATAGGTAGATACTCCAAATAAGTGATATACCAATGCATATGAGATATACCATAGGCTGCTATTAATCTTCCTTTGTGATCTCTAGCAACTCCTACAATACCTCCTTTATAATAATGAAATAAAGTTGCATCTACATTCACCTTGATCCAATTGGGTGGAGGAGAATACCAATGATTTTCAAACAACAAATGATGATTGGTACTCAACCGGCTCGATTTGATATAATTTGGAGCATTGAGAACTCCTACATAGTTAATAGCCTCGGCAGCTATGTAAAATGAACTTCTTTCTTCTTCCCGTGAACAATTTCATTCCTTTCCTTCCAAGTAAAGTATACAACATTGCAGAGTAAGCTAGAAAGAAAAACATTTTGTTTAGTCAGCCACTTATACATCTCTTCATTGTTATTAAATAGAGGAATACAAAAACCCCATTTGTTCAGTTGATAAATAACATCCACAATCTTCTGACATCTACATGTTAAATGACTAATGTTTTCCTCCTCATAACAGCCTCTAGGATAGCTATTTATCTTTTGAATTATTTTAAAAGATAAAAATGAATTGGAAGGCAAGGCATTATTAACAACTCTCCCTAAGAAATTTTCTACTCTAGCATTAAATTTTGATTTTTTCAGCCATTTCCATTCAACGTTATCAGTTAATTGATAAACTTTTTGCCCAATAACCCTGGAAGTAATAGTTCTTCCAGATTCCATGTAGATGAGATCAAATTGATCTTCAATAAGATTCGGTTTTATATTAATCTTGCAGATTAATTCCACCAGATCCTTACCAAAATATTTCTGAAGTTCTGGAGTACTCCATTGATCTCCAGAAATAAAACTTTACACTCTTAAAGCACCAACCACTTCTTCTTGAGAGTAAACAAATATAGGCCATTTGTTTAAACATTTGTCCCAAATCAAGGTGTCTTCAAAAACATCAATAGAATGATCTCTTTCTGTATTCCATCTCATAAGATTTTTCAAGGATTTACTACCATCTTTGATAATCTTCCATGCAATAGAGTTAGATTTGTTTCTGTTCACATCATCCCAACAGGAATCGTATCTTGGAAATAGAATTTTATGCAATAAGGATTCATTTTCTTTCATGTATTTCCAAGCTAATTTAGCTCTTAGAGGGCCCATTTCTTTGGAGCACGAATGAATTCCTCTGCCACCTTGTTCAACTGGTTCACACATCTTTTTCCAGCTGACATAATGCAACCCATGATCTTCATTAGATTTGTCCTAGATAAAGTTTCGGCAAAGCTTCTCAACTTCTCGTAGAACAGCTCTTGGAACTAAAGACACCTTTGAATGGAAAGAAGGAATAGAGAGAATAACAGATTTCACCAACGTGATTTTACCTTCTAATGAAATGAACTTAAGCCCCCAATTATTTAGCTTCTTCAGAATTTTGTCCATCAAGAATTGGAAATCCACTCTAGAAAGTCTTTTTAAAGCCAATTTTGTTCCCAGATAATTGAATTCTTTAACTTCTTTAAATCCCATGATGCCTTTGATTTTTCTTTTCTTTAAGCTAGAGACAGCTTTCCCAAAAAGTATGCCAGATTTGCTTATGTTAACCTTTTGGCCAGTCCAACCACAATATTTTTTGGCAATGCCTTTTATAGTTCTTACATTTTTGAGCTTAGCTTCAACAAAGAAGCTGATATCTTCTGCATACAGTAAGTGTGAAATTCTTGGGCTGTTATTGCTAACCCGAAAACCAATTTCTTCCTTCTCCATAATGGCATTTGAAAGTAGCTGAGAACATAAAAATAAAAAGGTAAAGAGACAAGGGACACGCTTGTCTAAATCCACACCTTGCTTTGATCCAATTGGAAGGAGTTCCATTAATTAAAATAGAGAAAGCAGGATTATGAACACATTCCGATATAAGATTGGAAAATAAATCAGGAAATCCAAAATAACAAAGAATTTTGTGAAGAGTTGGCCACCCCATTGAATCATAAGTTTGTTCCATGTCTAATTTAATAGACACAAGACCTTTGGAAGCTTTAGAAATATGAACTTATGGATAAGTTCATGATCAATCAAGACATGATCTTGAAGAGATCTCCCTTTAAGAAAAGCAGCTTGTTCAAGGGAAATTAATTTAGGAATAATACCATTTAATCTGTTAAGAAGAACTTTGGATGAAATTTTGTACACCGTGTTACAAAGGCTAATAGGCCCATAATTATAAGCATATTTCGGATTGTTGATTTTGGGAATCAGGACAATCATTGTTCTCTTCCAATCCTCATTCATCTTAGCAGTTTCAATGAAATTTTTCATAGCTTCCCAGAATTCAATCTTAATAATAGACCAATAGCTTTTAAGAAAAGAATATGAAATTCCATCTTCACCTGGAGAAGTGAACCTCGTGGTTTCTTTAATGGCATTTTCTACTTCTTCTATATTGAATTCCATGTTTAATAGAATTTGTCCTCCTCTTCCAGATGAGAGTGATTATCCGGCCATCCTTCAAGCAAGCATCTCCTCTCACGCCATTTCTCTTTTAAGAATTGTAATAAAACATCTTCAATTTGATTCTATTTTTCCACCATATTCTTGTTACAATCCTTAATGCAAGAAATGAGATTTGTGTTTTTCTAGCACTAGCCATTGAGTGAAAAAATTCTGAATTTTGGTCTCCTTCTCCTATCCATTTTACTTTGGATCGTTGTCTCCACCACGTGCTTAACCGAGCCAAAGTAGATTTAAGCTCATTAATTTTGAATTTCAGAAGACAATAATCATTCATGGAAAGAATTCCAACTTTAGCTTCTTTAGTTTGAAGAATAAGGATTTCTTCTTTAAGCAAGTCCTTCAACTGGTTCAAGTCTTTGTGCTTAGCCTTACTCCAAAAGAATAAGGATTTAATAGACCTTTTTAAATTGAAATTCATAATTTCAGCTGGAGTTCCAGAATCTTTTTTCATCCAGGCTTTTTTTGCCACAGCAGCAGAAGCCATATAAGAAGCCCACACATCCTACAATTTGATAGTTTTTTAACTTTAGAAGAAAAAACTGAAGTATTAAGGAGGATAGGACAGTGATCAGACGTAATTCTAGGTAGATGCTTTACAACCATCTATTGATTACAGTTCACAACAAAAGAATCTACCATTATACGATCCAATCTTTCCATTATCCGATCAGAGCCTTTCTTATTATTACTCCAGGTCAGCCTAGGACCAATGAAGTTGAGTTCATGAAGATCATTGGAAGTCATAAAATATTTCATCTCTCTAGGCCCCAAAGAAAAAGAAAAATTCCTACCACCTTTCTTGTCTTCTTTTGCCAAAAGACAATTAAAGTCTCCACTGATCACCATAGGCCAATCATGGGTGATATGGGGTTCCAAACCATTCCAGAGAAGTCTTCCATTGGACACATCTTTGCTGCCATATATAGTAGCTATCCTCCATTTCCCCTTGTTAAGGATATCCAAATTGCCAATAATGAATTGAGAAGAAGACTCTATCATATTGAAGTTAGCTAGGTTGCTCCTCCAAAGAACGAGAATGACTCTAGATAAACTAGCAGATGGAACATAACTATAATTCCAACCAGTGCCACTCAAATAATCCACATCTTTATGCTCAATAATGACTAATTTAGTCTCCAATAGTCCAATAAAAAGAACATTGTGATCTTTAACCAACTCCTTGAGGTAGAGAGAAGCCTTCTTTTTCTTGGCTCCTCTACAATTCCAAATTAAAATGGAATTCATTTATGGATCAATGGGGAATAATTCCCCCCTTTCTCCTTAGCATCTTCATCAGTTATCCTGCTCCTTGTCTTCAAGCTGATTGGTCCCAGATTTTTTAACTGTTTCACACCTTTCTTTTTGATAGTAGAAGAGGTATTTTCATAAGCTTTAGTAACTACATCAGTTATAATTGTCTCTGCCTAAATACCTTCTTGTATATTTGACTATAAACCTTCTTCAAATATTTCACCTTCCTCTGCTAAATTCCCCAGAACTTTGAATTTATTATTGATACCCAGAATTCTTACAGCAGATTCCTCCTCAGTATTTATTCTGGTTCCCACTTTAGCACAGCAGAAATTTACTATTGAATTGGTTTCTTTCTCCTCATCTCCTGCTCCCTGATTCAAACCAATTGAATCAGTTAAAATTTGTTTTAACAAAACTTTTCCAGCATTTGTTCCAGTAGCAACTGTACTGCTCATTTTACCAACCTCATTAGTTCTCCCCTCCAGACTTGAATTGGCCTTTATAATTTCTATTTTCCTAGGAACTGTTCTAGGAATCTTCTTAGTTTTATAGTCCACATGGATCCATGGACCATAGCCTTCTTCTTTGTCAACATCATTAGAAACCTAATTTTGAATATTTTTATTTGTATATGCAGCTCCCATTCTATCTTCATTAGTTTGAACTTCAATTCCCAGCTTAGCCTTGTTTGAAGTTGATTTCTTTAAACATTCCTTTATTAAGTGACCAAGTTTGCCACAGTTAAAGAAAAAAGTAGGCAACCTTTCATATTCAATGTTCTGGTAGAATTTTCCCAATTCTCCTTCAACCCAAACACCCATGGGTAACTTCTCATTAAGTTTTATTCTCACACAAACCCTTGAAAATTCTCTTCTAGACTACTGGAACATGTTTCCATCAATCAAGTACGAAGTCCCCACCATGGAAGCAATTCTACAAGCATTCACTTCATCCCAACATTGAAGTGGAAGATTTGGCATCCATATCCAAATTAGGGCTTTGAGGCCTTTGAATGAAGTAGGTGAGAAAGCAATTGTCCACCTGTCCATTCCCACTATATTTCCATTGACATACCATGGGCCTAAAAACAATATCTCCTCTAAAGAGTCTTGTTCCTCAAAGGCACAAAGCACCCATCCAAGTCCCAATTGACTTAAATGAAATTTACCAAACTTGGACCATTGCCTCCTTAACTCAACACTTATGACATTGAAAGGAATATTATTGCCAAAGATCTTGATCACCAGAGTCTTCTTAAGTCTATTTGAATTATCAAATTCATTTCCCACATGAAGTTTTACTGCTTCGTCTTCATTCACAAAGTTCTCACCAAAATTCAGTTCTTAGACTTTGATTTTATCCTTCTTCTTCCAAGCATTCAGAACATGTTTTTCAGCAACAGATTTAGAGCATTCAGCAATGCTTATTTAGTTGTAGTTCCCAAGTTCCCCAGATTCACATTCCTGAACTTTAATAAGATCAGAAGTCCGACCATCCTTGTCTACGCCATCTTGTTCCTTAGAATTCACATTGACTTCTGCTATAACCAGATCATCAGTATTATGGTTATCCTTTATAGCATCATACAAAACTTCCTTATAGGTTGCTGCCGCACTCTTATAAGAGGTTTACGTACAATCCTCTTTTTATAACTTATTGCCATTATGGAGATATGCTTCATGTAAACTGAATGACTTCGATTGAGAATCTTCCATAAGGATTTGTTTACCTTTGCCAATGCAATCAAACTTCTTCTTCTTATCTTCAACTGCTCCTTCTTTGATTATTAGAGGTAGTTATTTATTAAACCAGAACATGTTATCCTTCATGCAATCGAGGTCTCCGAAAGCAGGTGGAGATGAGTCGAATTGATGCGAGATCTTCCGTGATGTTGGAGGGGGAAGGAGGTTGGCTGAGACTCCGGGAGCCAAAGTCTTGCGATCCTCTGACGCCATTAGCATCAAGAAGAAAACCCGCAAAATGGGAATTCAAAAATCTTCTTCAAATGGGACAAAAATAGATTCATCACATAGTGAACTAATAATTAATGTTGGGTACATAAATTTTCACTCAAAAAAACTTTACAATCCTTGGAATCTATATGATATAATTTTATTATAAGAAAATAGTCAATCTAAGTTGTACTATATCTATTTTTAAGTGATGAGATGCTCATTCCTTTTCTTAAATAAGGTATTAAAAATTAAAAAATCATAAGCATAATAAACATATGATTTAATCTTGCCACCTTCATTTTTCATTCCAAACCCATTGCAACCATTAATGCTTTTAAAAGCATCTACCTCTCTACCAACATGTCCATTAAAATCTCCTCAAATAAAAACACTTTTTTCAATAGATATATTTTGTATTAATTCTTCTATGTCATTTAATAAATTTAATTTTAAACTCATATCCAAACCTACTTCAAGAGTATAAGCACTTATAATATTAATAATCTTAGCATCAACAATAATCTTTAAAGCTATAATTCTATATCCAATCCTATTAATTTTTATAACATTATCCTTCAAACTCTTATATATAATAACAACTACACCATTTCTAGTATGACATCCTTGCCAAATACCAAAGTTTAAATACTATACTATAAATCTCCTTAGCCTTCTTGAAAGTTCGTTAGGGATGTTAGGCCCTATAGAACTGGCCCAAGACTAATTAAAAGAGAGGTGAATTGGAAAACATGAAAACCAAAGATAAAACTCCATCCAAAATCACCACTCAAAATCATAAGCCATAGATCTGCAACACTTCTCTCCAACCCTTTGAGTTTCCTGAATGCATAGAATATTTAACTTCCTATGAATCATAATATATATTAATTCCTTTAATTTTCATGTAAGGGAACCTATATTCTAAGTTCCTATCCTAATTTTTCTTTCATGGACTAACTTCTTCGCCTACATCCATCCTTGATATAGAAACCCTTGCTTATTTAACACTACACCTGAGTGCTAGTATAGTGACCCTTGCACACTTGTCACTATATTCAAGCCATATAACTCATTGCTTAAAAATGTTTTTATTATTTATGCTGAGCTTTTAGCAATTCTTTATGGTCTTAGATTATGCATGTATCTTTGTATTACTAACATTTGGATTGAAGTTGATGCTATTTATAGTATTTATTTTTTAAATAACCCTGATGATAATGTGTGCAAAATAGAATTATTTTATATTGTTAGGAGATTAAGCAACTGTTAATCTTTGTTAATTTTACCATGTCTTATGAGTATAGGAAGGGAATGTTTGTGTTGACTAGTTTGCTAATTTTTAGTGTAATTTAGACTTTCTTTTTAATTTCTCTGCCACCAACTTTCCTACTCCTTTAAAGGGTCTTTTGAGATTAGCCAAAATTTGTTTACCCTCTATTAGAATTTAGGCTTTTGTTTTATTTTGGGCCTCTGGCTCTTTTTTATTTAGTTGTGGGTGTTTCCTTCTACTTTGTAGGCTTGTGGTTCTCCCATCCTCCCTTTAATTTGGTTAAGTTTGGTGGTTTTACTAGTTACTTTTTATTTCTTTGGATAATTCTTTAGTTTATTTCTTTGGCCAATTTTCAAGCTATGATTGTATCATTATTATTTTAAAGTTTAAACCCTTATGCAGCTCGTCTATTCCCTATATATTGTGCCTTGGGTTAGCTTGCTGTGGTGTTTTTTGGATTATGCTGAGTTTGTGTATCATGTTTCTTGGTAGGTTTAGTGGTGTGGTTATGAGTTTTCATGGGTTCCCCTCTTATTTAGATTTCTTTAGCCTCAATGTGATTGTTATCTATGTCTATGTGTTCTATAGTTTTTACTTTCATCTCCTGGTCTTTTAGCAGTCTATATGCAGGAATATGGCGGGTATTAATTTTTTTACTATTAGCTATTAAGTCTATTCCCTTGCATTATTCATTTCTTCTTTGAGCTATGATGGATCTGTGTTTAGACTAGAGTGGCACTTGGTTTTTTTCATGATGGCAGTTCTGGTACTAATTATTTGAGCTTTGGTGGCCAATTTTTCTATTATGATGCTTGGTTTTGGACTTATTTTAGCATTACATGCTGGATTTCTTGGAACTATTATTTCATGGAGCTTTGTGATGGCACCTACTACAGTTTACTCTGCTTTAATTCCTCCATGTTTAAATATTATGTTTCTCATTTCTTACTTAGGAGGTGTTATTCAAACTATGTTAAGGTTGATATGCAATGTTGCTTGCTCTATATTCCTGGTTATTTGGTTTTGTGTATCCATACCTTGGTTCTTCATGACTCTTGCGGGAATGTTGTTGGTGTTGAATTCAATCATTTTGGGACCGGGATGGTGTTTTTTCATTTCTTTGTATATGAGGACACTAATGTTTATAATTTTGCTGGTTGGTGGCTGATTATCTTCTCTAATGGTATTTATGAAAAATTGCTCACATTATTGTAGGTACCAGTCTTTGTGCATTTTTCATTTTGCTACACATTTTATTTTTGTAGGAGTTATTTAGTGCAGGTTTTCTAAATTTTGGTGTTTTGGATGGAAAGATGATGTTGAAAGCTATTATTTGGATCTTTCTTCTTTTATTTTTTTAAAGAAATGCAATTAGCTTTAAAGCATAAATGAAGAAAATATAAAAGACTAAGTGATAGCTAATATATCACAATACTTATTGATCAAGTCAAAAATGCTTAATGGATTATCACCAAACAAAACATAATCCCAATAAAAATCCCCCTTTAGAGCATGGTGAACACAAGCATCAGCCATCTTATTGCTCTCCATAGAAATAAAATAAAAAATTAAATTTTTTAAAACATCAAGAAAAGAAAAATTTAAGCCATGAACATTAATCCTCCGATTGTTATTCCCCACTCATTTGATATTATCCCCTTCAATAATAATCCCTTACTTCACTATCATCCATTCCTTGATAATTTCTTTAAATTTGAAAACAATAATAAGCTCCATAACCGATACATCCCAACTCATGAACTGCC